CACACGTACGGTTTCATAGGTCACGCATCACCTTAACTATAAGCTCTAACACCGTATGCGTTCATAGTACGCATCTTACATATTAGCTCACACGTAGGCTTCAATAGGCATAGCATCACTTTACTGCTTGCTGCCGACGGCGGAGCAACAGGGGCGGATGTTGCCTTTGTCTTTCAAACAAAGCCCGCAATGCTGCTGCTGATGCTGCTGCTGATGCTGCTGTGCTGCCTGCTTGTGCTGGCTGATGCCTGCTTGCTGTACTGCTGCTGGCTGCTGATGCTGCTGCTTGCTGCTGCCTGCTGATGCTGCTGCTGCTGCTGATGCTGCTGCCTTGATGCTGCTTGATGCTGCGACGATGCTGATATCTGATAAATGGACAGTTGCAGGCTGCCGGACACTTTCATGCTGATTGAGGAGAAAGAGGCAGGGGGAGGCCGGGAGAGGGAGAGGAGAAGGAATAGAATGGCAGAAGTGATTCTCTCGCCTCGCTTAGAGTCTTATCAAAGCTCTATCGCGATTACACCTATCTCCGCCCTCGCCTCCATGAGCATCACGCCGCGCTGGCACGCACGCACGCCACGAGACGACCAAGGTTCGCAGTGAGCGCTAACGCACAGTTACACGCACGCGCGCACACACGTTTCGCGCGCGCCGTGTGAGAGCCATCCTCGCGAAATCCTTACGGCCGCATAACTTTGTCCGCACCCTTGACTGATCCGCCTGCAGCCATGGCGCTATAGTGAGATGCACTGATCACTTGATAGAGCAACTCTCCACCACACGCCTGTGGTCCGTTTACACTTACATGCTAACATACCAGATATGAACACAAGTAGCCAAGCTGCAGCTTTCCTCTCCACACGCGCCTCGTGTGAACGCCTGATACGTGAAGTACAAACACCACGCGGGTACATACATGCGCGTACACGCACCGCCACAGCCCACGCACGTGTTACATACGTGCCTCAACTGGTTAGCAGCTCATTTTTATGTTCGCCTGCACTGCTGCGGCCACCTCCTCCTCCTTCCTCCTCCTCCTCTTCCCTCCTCCTCCTCCTCCTTCCTCCTCCTCCTCCTGCTGCTGCCACTCTCGGTTTGACTGTGAGAGGAATCGAGAGAGAAAGACCGAGAGAGAGAAGAGCCAAAGCCTTCCCTCACTGCGCATTCTGTGGACCCGAGCAACGCGACCGTGCAGCAGCTTCTATTGGCTTTCCCTCCGATAATCGATATACGTGTATAATATATGTATAATTACTGAGTGCCCGTTCGGTGGCCTCGTTGTTGCCACACAATGCAGGAGCCCAGCGCCGAGTGTTCGCCTTGGCAAGTTAGTTCTCTTATTTTACGCATGCGTATATGTATGTATATATTAGAATTAAAATCACACACGCGAACACCTGATGAAGAGCATGTACATATCGATGAAGCTTCGTTAATTCAGGTTTTAAAACTTCTTTAACCTGATGATTTGACTTGTTAAAACTATATATATAATATAATATATGATACTATTATATATCATATATAATATATCAGTGAGAGGGCCAGCAGAGAGATACAGAAAGAAGTATTACTATATATACTATATTTATATATATATATATACTCAGAGAGAGAAGAGAGTGACAGAGAGAAAGAGAAGAGAAGAGAGAGATGACAGAAGAGATCGAGTCGGAGAGAGAGAGAGAGAGACGAGAGCAGAGAGAGAGAGAGAGCATAGATATAACACTTATACATTTCTCTATCAGTATAATCGAAGGACATCACCCATCTCGAATATACCGTCTGATGTTACGAGTGCTATCTGCCACTTGAATTTGGCGCCTAGCTTTGGCTCTGCATTGATGCTCTATGTATATCGATTCTCTGCCGCCATTGCTTTGATCGTGAAAGCGAACCTGCTGTGCGTCAAAGCAGAGAAATTACTTTTCTCGACACCCTAGTTACCAGTTGAGAGAACGCATCGAGCGTTAGAGGCAGTTGGCCAGGAATACATTGCGTCGCTCTCTCTGGTGACAATCCTCAGGCTAGTCTGGAGACTCATACACGGACCATACTCACATTAGGAGTGACTCAGCATGCCACGCCCGATCTGTTGACGGACAGGCGACGGTGTCAGACCTACTGATAAAAGCCAGTGCCATCTTATACACCTGAACTAGTGGCCGCCCCCACGTCAATGTCAGTCGTAATAACGACCCCCGTACTGAGTGTGATAAATTGAACTTTTACACTTCGTAATTTTGCTATGATGGCGAGAACACGTACGCAAAGAAATAACGCAATAAAAGAAAGACGCATAATTTAGGAATGTGCTAATGAAAACTTTTATATACAAATTAATCTCTTCGCACGTACACACACGCGCGCGCGCGCACACACACACACGCCCCCACACACAGCTAGCACTATTTGTCGTTCGTGACACACACACAGTGACGGCTTGCCGCCTCGTCGGAGCAATTATTTCTGTTTTAAGTCGCTCCGTGGCTGCACCGATCATACGTCTGTGTCACGAGCCGTGACCCTCCCTACACACGGCTGAGGAATTTCGCTCGTTCACGCGCGCAGACGACAAACAACAATCAATCCGAGGCAGACGATAGCAACAGCACTACAAGCCGACAAGTTACTACCCCCCCCCCTCCCCTCACCCCGAGTACGTACTGAATAATCCGAGAGTCAATTATACGTACACTAGTCTCCGTCGAGAATACGTAAAGTCATGACGTGCTGCTAGCAATTCTGTGTGAGCTTTCTTCATGATGAGATAGCAGATTGCTGCACGCAATTATATACGCTCGATTTGTCCGGACGATGATTGGCCTAAACATTCTTTGAATGAGTTCTAATTTGAATAAGTTGAATGAGTCTTAGGCTAGCTGGAATGTTAGTGTGAAATTAGTCAATTAAAATCAGCACGTTACACGTATACGCTACCCAGTGCATCATACACGTACACGCGCTATTTCTCTCGTCGTGCTGTTGGTTATGGTTACATATTGGTTACGTATTGTTATTCCCCAGCTACAAATTACGGTTTTTGTTGTTATTGTTTACCGCGCGTGCGTTTATGAACTTTCTTGTTGTTGGTTACCACGTATAATGTATATTTAATAATTTACCCTTCCTGCTCTTGTTGGTTACCACGCGCACATATTATGAAGCAGTCTTGTTGTTGCTCTTATTGTTGTTGTTGTTTTTGTTGTTGCTGCTGCTGCTGCTGCTGCTGGGAACCACCATACACCACCCTTTTTGCTATTACAATACTATTTTTGTTCTTTCTTGTTGCTCTTTCATGTTATTGACGTTTTTATCGTCATCGTTGTTGTTGTTGTTGTTTTTATTGCTGTTTTTGTGTTTATCACTGTTGTTGTTGTTGTTGTTATTGTTGTTGTTGTTTTTGGTGTTGTTGTCGTTGTTGTTATCGTCGTTGCTACTAATACTGTTGCTGCTGCTGCTGGTGGTGGCTACCACGCAAAGCACTACTGTAAATGACTCCATTAGAGCAGAATGATTACAACTCCGGAATGCTTATTATACGTGAGCACGACCAATGCAGTACGGTAGCTAGAGAGACTTTATTGGTGTCTATACTGTATCTATAGAGTATTTATTAGGGTCTGTACTGTAGCTAGAGAGACTATCAGTGGATATCGTGTAGCTAGAGAGACTTTATCAGTGCCTGTACGGTAGCTAGAGAAGCTTTATTAGTGGCAGTACGGTTACATGAGGGGATTAAGTCGTGTATCCTTGTCCGCCATTAGTAGCTGTCGTAACTAATCTATTCATTGTCATAACTCATGGCGATATAGGAGCTCTAGCTATAGAGTGTGTGATAATATCGCAGGACGAGGGAGAGATGACAGCCGACAAGCGTGGCTGGCAGACGAAGAGAAAGAGAGAGAGAGAGACAGAGAGAGAAGAAGGAGGGGAGAGGAGGGACGGAGGTGAATTGTGAGGTATATACATATAGTGTAAGTAAGCAACGATGCAGGCTGTTGCATTATTAACCAATAGCAAGCCACTGCCGTCATTTGTGCAGACCTGCACTGCGCTCAGTTATCTATTTATTTGCACATATCAGTTCATATCTAACAGCGCTGACGACATCTCTTCAGATCCGATATGGGTTACCGCGTCTGCCAGCGAGAAACAGCGTAAATCACCAATGTTACCGGTCACCTCGTGGCTACCACCGCGCCCCCTACACTCGCGTCGCTGCCGACGACTACAAGTACATCTGGAAAGATCTCTGCGGCACCGCATCCCGCCGTCGCAGAGGTGGCGCCTCTATCGGACTCTCGTCGAACACCACGTGATCACCCGCAGCCACCGCACTGCCCTCTGGCGTCGCAGGTACGCACCCGTCGTCATCGTCGCAGCCTCTCGCGCCGGCACGCGTTGACATGGCGACGAACGACTCCTCGAAGCAGGGCACGTCGGCGGCGGCGGTGACGTCACCGTCGTCGCACGTCGTCGTCGTCTTGTGTCGCTCGTCGGTCGGCTGTTCGAGGCTGCTGGAGGATGAGGAGGATGCTGTGTAACTAAGACTTAGCTTCCCTGTACCCGCCATCCCGTCCGTGTCGCTATCCGGGTTCGGCGACGCTGCTGCCACCGCCGCGGCGGCGGGAAGGCAGGCGGAAGGCGACGGGAAATGTTCCCCGACGTCGGGAACCTCTATCCCGCTCTCGGAGAAGCCGTCCTCTACGGCGAAGTCGCGCGGGATGTATCCCTCCGCGTTGCCGACGTCGCGCACCCACAACCAGGTGGCGTCGTCGTCGTTGAGGAGCGTGATGGTGGCGCCCTGCCGCACGCTGAGGTCGCCTTCCTCCGTCGCCTCAAAGTCGTAGAGGACGGTCATCGTCGGTCCGTCGCTCAGCTTCTTCTCTGACCTCCTCCCGCTTCCTCCTGCTCCGAGAGACCACGTACATACATCCGTCGATGGTGTGTTGCCATTCAGCGACCACGTGTGTATGGCTTCAGTCATCTTGCTCCCGCTGGACGAGCTTGCATTCTTCGCCTCACGCTCGTTGTCGCTGCGTACGGGAGAGGAGCGACGGAGACCGGATGCGGAAGTGTCTCCCGTATGTCGTCCGTTCGGCGTTCCCGGAACCACCTGTTCCTCGATGGATTTACTTCCGAGCGACAGATCGGCGGACGGACTGTTGTACATGCTGACCGACGTGTTGGGTGTGTAGCGTGCGCTTGCCTGGGTGCTGTTCCCGCCGTGGCGGGAAGGACTGTGGTAGGAGGAGGTGTGGTCCGTGTAGCAGCAAGAGTCCTGGCTGTGTGTGTGCGGGCAGGGACTGTGGTTAGCCGTGTGGGGTGGACTGTGGTTAGCCGTGTGGGGTGGACTGTTGCTAGTGGTGTGGCGTGGACTGTTGCTAATGGTGTGGCGTGGACTGTTGCTAGCGGTGTGGCGTGGACTGTGGTTAGTACTGTTATCCGTGTGGGGTGGACTGTTTTTGGACATGTGGCGTGGACTGTGGTTAGTACTGTTATTCGTGTTGCGTGGACTGTTGCTGGCGCTGTTAGCCTCCTGGCGTGGACTGTTGCTAGCGCTGTTAGCCTCTTGGCGTGGACTGTTGCTAGCGGTGTTACCCGCTTGGCACGGACTGTTGCTAGCGGTGTTAGCCTCCTGGCGTGGACTGTAGCTAGCGGTGTTACCCGCTTGGCACGGACTGTGGGTGGGGGTGGCGGGGTGCGTGCCGGGGGCGTGGCTGCCGCCGCTCTCCCGCGCGCTCTCCGCATGTCGCGGACTATGGTCGGCGTGCAGGGTGACGCGCCGCCAGTCCCTCCGTTCCTAAACGAGAACGGGGTGTCGTTCGCACGCGCTTCTCACCGCCTCGTCCGCTCCTCTCCTCGCTCGCTTCCTCCATCTCTCCTCCCTCCTCCTTCCCCTCCTCCACGCGCGACGGCACCGCAGGAGGCAGGAAAGCTGTTGAACGGAGAGTCGCATCCATCCTCCTCTTCCTCTGATCTCGTGGCTGTCGGAGGTCGATGGCCACGTGACGTCATCTCTGACGTCATCGATACTGGTAATCGGCTGTGTCGCGGGAGGGTAAGGGCGAGTCGACGTGAGGGGCAGAGTGGAGGGAGGGCGCTGCCAGCGGAGTAGGAGGAGGAGGAGAAGACGTGAAGAGGAGGAAGGAGCGCACGTCGATGCCTCGCGGTGGGCGGGGAGATGCCGGAGGAGGTGCGCGCATACTTGTTAGTCCGCTTTGCCTCTACTAGCGTTAACGCGAGCAATCTCGCAGCTCCACTCCTGCTTTCGCGGAGACTTCTGCCTTCCCCGCCTTCCCGCTTGCGATGGGGCGAGGAGCAGATGCGGCGATGTTATCCCGGGGATAGGAGCCCGTCCTGCCAGGAAATAGTGCTCTGCATCCCTTCCTCCTCCTCCTCCTCCTCCTCCTCCTCCTCCTCCTCCTCTTCTCTCCGCTGCTGGCCAGGGCGGTGCGCTGCTACACGCGCGCGCAGGGCCTCACGGCCCGTATTGAGACGTCCGCCATGCTTGCGGCGCTGAGTCATTGGCCGCCATTTTGTAGCACTCGCGTTAAAACTTGTCATCCTCCGCTACTAGCGATGGCGCTGCGGGCGCCGCGTCTGCTGCCGTTTTCGGCGATCGCGGAACAGTCGATTCTCGGACGCCGGTCGCTTTCGTCTGCTTCTTTGAAGGAGGGCAACATCTCCTGCGAAACGCTCGGAAGCTCGGAAGCATCTTTTTTGTTCTTCTTCGTCGGACTGGCTTTCTTCTCTGTTGCTGGTGATAACGTTTGATGATGTTGTCAGCGGTTGACGATGACGTTGCCGCTAGCGAATTTCTTCTTAATAGCGAGCGTTGACGTGTTTTCAATGTTGTGTTGTTGATGTTTGCGCGCCATTTTTTCTTATCTGCGGGAGAGACATGTTGCGCGTTGATGTTGACACTGGCCTTCTTGCTGCTGGGAGCAACAACAGTGGTGTTTACCAACTGTTGTTGTTGATGCCGACGCCACCTTTGCCTTCTAAGCGGCGGAGGCGCTGGGTGTGTTTCTCGCGACGATCCGCGAATCTCGCTGGCACGGCTGCACGCGGTAGGACGACGATGACTTGCGGATCTCCTGCCTGAGCACGCTAGCGTGCGAACGGCTGCCGGTCGCCATGCGACGCGTCCCGCGCCTCCGCCTCGTCGCTGTCGCACCACTCCTCGTGGATCGTCTGCTGTGACGTCATCGCGGGCGCTGCGGGCGACGTGCAGCTGGTCGTCGCTTATGACGAGCCGAGCCAGTGCTTGCGACGACGTGGTTACGTCGGCGACGTCTCTGCGCTGCACGAGGCGCCCCCTGCCGGAGCCGGCGGATGTTCGTCACGGAGTGGATGCCCGTCGAGGTGCGGACCGGGGAAGGAACGGACAGCGGTCTTGCGTCGTTGTCGCGCGTGACCTTTGACCAGGATGCATCCCAGATCGACGCGGCGGAGCAGCGCGAGTGCGCCCAGTCAGGTGCGCTGTCGTTAAGATGCCGAACTTCTTCAGGTCGCAGGCCAGCAGCGCCTTGAGCGTCACCGCGACCGCTGCCGCCGCGACGCCTTCGGATAGCACGACCGAGAAGCGGGACATGCTCGTAACGGTCGGCCAAACGCACGTCCCGCCGCCCGCCAATCTTGCTGACACGCGCGCCCGTTTTGGGTTTACGTCGGCCGACACCAGATTGCAATTTCTCAACGACTGGCTCGTTGAGACAGTCGCTCAGGAGGACCGGGACCTCGCCGCTCCGTTTTCGTCGCCATCCGCCATCGGCCATCGTCGTCGTCGTTCGCGCAGCCGACGTCGCTCTTATCTCGCTGGAGAATTCTCGGGCGACGGTTCGAGTTCGTCGAGTTTTGTTACTTTGGCACTGTCTGGCGGCAGCGGCCGCGCATCAGTTCTTGGAAAAAGCCGTCGACGACCGACGCTACTGCCTGCGTCCGGCATTGCCGACAATTCACGTCGCCTCCGCTTGGGACAAGAAACTCGGTTCGTCAGTCGTCGCTGCGATGTTTGCCGACGTTCTATCTTAGAGGAGACTTGCAGAGACATTCGGGTCTCCGGCAATGATTCGACACGTAGTTTAAGCGACGACGACGACGTTTCTCTCTCTCGCGCGACGACGACGTCGCCACGTCCGGTCGGGCCCGCGGCAGTGCGACTCCTGTCCGATTCACGAACCGCACGAAGCTGCACGGCGGGCGGCGCTTCGTAGGCGCCCTCTGCTGCGTGAAGTACGGAACCTGACCTTTGGCGGCGTGATGTAGGTGGCGTCCCTTGTCGGTCGACTTTGCGTCGGGAACGTCGGTGTGGATTTCGCCGAGGTCAGAGACGTCACGAAGCTCGTTTGGAGTTGCAGAGCGGACCTCTCGTCTCCCTCGTCCAGCGATAAACATGTCCCTGTATCAGCCCTTCATACGTGGTCCTCTCTTTTCTCCATCCTCCTCCTCCTCCCTTTCCTCCTCCTCCTCCTATTCCTTCTCCGCCTCGCTCCCTCTGCGCACATGCGTCCTTTAGTGACACCACCATCACGCCTCCTGGCGTCACGTCGCGGGCAGGCAGCGCCCCCTGTGGGTCATCTCGAGTAGCTTTCTGACGCGATGGGACGACGGCGGTTACTACGTCGTTCCCGTCGGCGTCTCGCGAGATCTCGTTGCACTGCAGCCAGCGCGGCTTCGGCGGCCGCGGCGGAGGACCTGCGCCGACGTTTGTCGTCTGCTTCAGTGGCGCCACGTTCGTTCGCGTTGTCGGCGCGTTGCCGCGTCGCTGCATCGTCACCTCGTCGTCGGCCAGCGCTCCGCTCTCGTTCTCCTTGTCCGACGACGAGCTCTGTTGGCAGTCGCTGAGATCCTCGAGTTTGCCGAGCCGCTGTTCGAGTCTCGCGATCTTGCGGATGTGGTCGTCCCGCATCAGTTCCGGATTCCAGAGTCCCTGCGGCGGCACGACGGGAACGCCGCGGCGGCGCAGGGTGTCGTGATAGTTGGCGAGCCAGTCTAGCGTCTTACAACTCATCTTCTTCATCTCCTCCAGGTTGACGTAGTTGCGAAGCTCGTCGATAGGTGGCGCGGGCGGCGCCGGGGCGTGGCTGAGACTCCCGGCTCTCTTGCGCGCCTCGCCTCCTCCTCCTCCTCCTCCTCCTCCTCCTCCTCCTCCTCTTTCTCCTTCTCCGCCGCCCTCCCGCTGCGGTGCCTCTCTCTTCTGCTTCGTCTCGGGTAGCTTCCTCTCTTCCTGCTGCTGCTTCTGCTTCTCCGGGGACATGCGGTTCTTCGGGAGGACGAGACTCAACGGGAGAGTGTAGTCGAAAGGTACGAAACCCTCTTCCTCGTCTGCGGTGCGCACGTACACCCAGTGCTTGTGTTTGTAGAGGGCGTTGACGACGACTCCCTGCGTGACGGACACCTCGTCGGCGGCTGTCCAGTCGCTGGCCGGAGCGTAGGAGCGAGTGACCATGAGCGGGACGTTGCCTGGACACGCCGCCGTGCATTCAGCCAAGTACTGCGGAAGCGAAAGAACAGCGATACATTATCGAGAGCACTGTCAGACGACGGAATATATATATACAAAATCACACACGCACACCCATGATGCAAGAGATGTACATAATCGAAGCTCGTTAATTCAGTTTTACTTCTTTAACCCTATTATTTGACTTGTTAATATATATACTATATATATATATATATATATATATCTATATATATATCAGTGAGAGGCAGAGAGATACAGAAGGTATCTATTATATATATATATATTATAGTATATAGAGAGAGAGCAGAGCAGAGAGAGAGAAGAGAGAGAGAGAGCAGCAGAGAGAGAGAGAGAGAGAGAGGAGAGGAGAGAGAGAGAGAGAGAGAGAGATAGATATAACACTATACATTTCGTCTATCCAGTATAATCGGAAGAATCAACCCATCTCGAATACGGTCTGATGCTTACGAGTGCTATCTGCATGAATGGCGCCTAAGCTTTGCGCGCATGATGTTTTCTATGTATATCGTATCTCTGCATGCTTTGATCGTGAAGCGAACTGCCTGTGCGTCAAAGCCAAGAGAAATACCTTCTCGACAAACTATACAGTGAGAGAACGCTCGAGCGTTAGAGCGAGTTGGCAGGAATTTACATGTCGCTCGCCGGCTGACAGATCCTCACGGCTAGTCTGGGGCTCATACACGAATATCAATTAGGAGCAGAGGGGCAGGGAGCAGGGGGGGGGGGGGGGGGGTGACTAGCTGGCAAGCCCGCATCTGTTGACGCGAAGGCCGACGGTGTAGACTACGATAAAAGCCAGTGCATCGTTAACCTGAACTTAGTGGCGCCCCACGTTCAATGTCGTCGTAATAACGGTACTGAGTGGTGTAAATTGAACTTTTTACATCGCTACATCTTTGCTATGAGGAAACGAAACGTACGCAAGAAATAACGACAAATAAAGAAAGACGCATTAATGTTAGGAATGTGTAATGGAAAACTTTTATATACAAAATTAGACATAGAAACATTGTACACGTACATAGATAGTAGATATACCCCGTGTAAACACTAATACCAAACGATTTATGAATATCACCAAGATATCGTATCTATCCAAGTTCATCATATATTTTTATATATGGGACACCGACAGTACTATTATATAGCCTTAGACGTAGAGGGCAGTGAAATGTGTCAGGCAGTCCTAGAGTTATTGGGGCGTGCTTGTTCGCAGCGTTTGTGATGTTCATGCGGTCCTGTTTTATTGCTGCGATCAGAGGAACCAACGTAATAGGAGGGTATTTATGATACCTCAGACCCCACTGAGGCCGAGAAGGAAAGAACGTAAACAGAGAAAGAGAGCAGGGAGAGAACGATATATATATAACTGATACGTCATACATATATAGTATATCTATATGACTATATATATATATATATATATAGTATATATATATTAGAGAGAGAGAGAGAGAAGGAGAGAGAGAGAGAGAGAGAGAGAATGTTACAGGTATTATAAAACCATATATATATTATATATATATATATATATATATATATATATATATATTATACTATATATATATTTATAGAGAGGAGAGGAGAGAGGGACGAGAAGAGAAGAGAGAGAGCAGAGAGAGAGAAGAGGAGAGACGCGAGAGAGGACAGAGAGCAGAAGAAGGCAGGGAGGACGGAGGTGAATTGTGACGGGTATATACATATAGTGTAAGTAAGCAACGACCGCAGCGCCTGTTGCATTATTAACCAATATCGCAAGCCACTGCCGTCATTCTGTGCAGACCTGCACTGTCGCTCAGTTAATCTTATTTTATTTCGCCACATACTTCAGTTCACTATCTAACAGCGCTGCGACATATCCTTCAAATCCTGATATGGGTTACCGCGTCGTCCAGCGAGAACACAGTTAAACTCACCAATGTTATCGCGTCACCTCGTGGCTACCACCGCGCCCCCTACACTCGCCGTCGCTGCGACGACTACAAGTACATCTTGCGAAAGATCTCTGCCGGCACCGATCCGTCGCCCGAGGTGCGCGCTCTATCGGACTCATCGTCGAACACCACGTGATCACCGCAGCCACCGCACTGCCTCGTGGCGTCACAGGTACGCACACCCGTCGTCATCTCGCCAGCCTCGCGCCGGCACGCGTTGACATGGCCTGACGGCAACGACTCCTCGAAGCAGGGCACCGGTCGGCGGCGGCGGTGACGTCACCGTCGTTCGCACGTCCGTCGTCGTCTTGGTGTCGCTTTCGTCGGCGTCGCTGTTCGAGGCTGCTGGAGGATGTAGGAGGTATCTGTGTAACTAAGACTTAGCCTTCCCTTGTACCCGCCATCCGCGTCCGCTGTCGCTATCCGGGTTCGCACCGACCTGCTGCCACGCCCAGCGGCGGCCGGGAAGGGCAGGTCGAAGGCGACGGCGTTAAATGTTCGCCGACGTTCGGCGACCTCTATCCCGCTCTGCGAGAACCGTCCTCTTACGTGCGAAGTTCGCGCGGGATGTATCCGCTCCGGCGTTGCCCGGATCGTGCCGCGCACGACCACACCAGGTGGCGTCTGTCGTCGTGAGGAGCGTGATTGCTGGCGCGGTCTGCCGCACGCTGATGTCGCCTTCCTCCGTCCGCCTCCAGTCGTTAGAGGAACGCGTCATCGTCGGTCGTCGCCTCAGCTTCTTTCTCTGGACCTCCTCCCGCTTCTCCTGCTCCCGAGAGATCACG